CATGCTTATCATAATAGATTTTAGCCTGTTTCTGCTTACTCCTCACCTTTTCTCTATATTGATCTTTTACAGTTGGTTTCAATTCTGTTTGTGTAATTGGTAATCGTGTTCTTAAATTCCTACTTAATAGCATTTGACTTGGTGATAAATTTATACCTGAAATTGGAGTATTTCTATATTCCAGTAAAGCCTCATTTAATTTCTCTAATCCTGCTTTTCTAAATAAACTCTTAGCTATACCTACCAACCTTTCTGCAAATCCATTAGATTTAGGATATCGAGGACTGCTAGTGATTATTTCAAATCCCCAATCCCTTGCGAAACTCTTCATTTTCCAACTATTAAATGGTACGTTATCACAAATTAAAGTTTTGGGTATTCCATGTGTTGAAAATATCGATTTCAATTTACTAGTAACTTCCACTACACTTTTATTTTTTAGAGGAATTATGTCTACCCATTTAGTTAAGTAACAGCCTATATTACTAGATAACTTTTCCCTGCATACTCACAGATATCAGCACCAACCTTTTCACAAGGTAAACTGGGAATTTCATGAGAAACAAGAGGTTCTTTTACTGTTTGAGGCCTGAACCTATCACAAATTAGGCATTTAGAAATCATATTCTCAATGTTACTGTTGATTCCTGGCCAAAATAGTACTTGTCGAGCCCTAGCTTTTGATTTTTCAATCCCACAGTGAGCTTCATGCAATAATGTTAACATACACTTTCTTAATGCAACAGGTACTACAATTCGATTATTAAAAAAAACTAAATCTTGTTCAACACACTCAACTCATTTTTAAATTTAAAATAAGATCTTGCTTCTTTAGGAACTTTATCAACACTCAAAGGCCATCCATTTTGCCAATATTCTTTCACTAGCATTAACCCTTCATCTTCTAATGTAGCTTTCTGAAATTCCCTTTTCTTACTCTCAGACATTTGCAGTTGTTTTTGTTAGTGTATGAACAATCTCTGTCATATCCATGTTTTCATTTGTGTCTGTATCAATAAAGGAACGTGACAGTAAATCTGCAATATACATATATTTCCCAGGCAAATATTTAAGTTTTAAGTTATATTTTAAGAGCTTAATTTTTATCCTCTGCAATCTATTTGACAACACATTAGCAATATTTTTTGTTCATAATTGAAACTAATGGTTTATGATCAGTAAGCACTTCTACCTCTCTACCATAAATGTAATAGTGAAATTTATTAGCAGCAAATAAAATACTAAGAAATTCTTTCTCAATCTGAGCATAGTTTTTTTTTCTGCATTATTTAAACTCCGAGACGAAAAAGCAATTGGTTGCCCATTCTGCAATAAGCAGCAGCCTAACCCATCTTTAGAACTATCTGCCTGTATAGTTATAGGTTTACTGCTATCAAATATTCCTAACACAGGTGCATTGGAAATTAATTTTTTTTTTTTCCTGAATGCTTTAGAATGTAGCTGTAACCACTGCCATTCTACTTTGTTTTTCAAAAGTTCCCTTAATATGGCTGTTTTCTCTGAAAAATGTGGTACAAATTTCCTCAAATAATTACACATTCCCAAAACACGCTGTAATTCATGCTTATTCTGAGGTTCCTGTAACTCAGTAATGGCTTTAATTCGATCAGGATCAGGTCGCATGCCTGACGCATTAAATAAATGACCTAAATATTTAACCTCACTAACCCTATATTGAAGTTTTTGCTTGTTGAATTTAATATTGAGTTTTTTTAGCTCTGTTGATGACCTCTGTTAAAATTTTTATCATGTTCTTGTATAGTGCTAGCAGCAATGAGAATGTCATCAAAATAGACCAATACTCCTGGTATATCGCCAAAGTTTTCAAGATTGCGTTTCTGAAAAATTTCAGGTGCACAGGAAATACCCATTGGAAGCCTTAAGAATTTATAGCATCCAAATGGTGTGCTAAAAGTACAAAGATCACTACTATTTCCATCTAACGCTATTTGAAAAAACCCATCCTTTAAGTCCAAAACAGAGTAAATTGATTTATTACATAGCTTTGGTAAAATCTCCTCAATTGTTGGAATCAACACATGTTCTCTTTTTATAGCTTTGTTAAGATCTTGAGGATCAAGGCATATTCTTAAGGATCCATTAGCTTTTTCAATTATTACTAGATTGCTAACCCAGTTCAAAGGTTGATCAACTTTTGCAATAATGCCCTGTCTCTCTAATTCGCTTAATTTTAATTCAAGTTTAGGTTTTAAACTAAGTGGTACTCTACGTGGTGGTCTCACTACAGGAGCTATCTGATCATCAACCATGATTTTACACAATCCATTAAATTTCCCCACACCTTCAAACACTTCTGAATTATTAATAATAAATTGATCTTTAGATGGAGGTAAAACAATTGTATACTGATCCAACTTACCTTTAATTGATATTCCAACCTTATTTATAAACTGAATTAAATTAAGTTTAACACATGCATCAATTCCTAATAATGGACGTATATGCTTGCTAGAAACAATTAAAAACTCTAGAGTATGATCCACACCATCTGAGGAACATTGTAACATTAATGACCCATCAGGTTTAACCTTGGACCCCCCAAATGCTTCTAATACAACATTACACTTGTTTAAAATAAGATTAGAGTTCTTAGCACTCAGTGTTTCGTAAGTTTTCACAGGCAAAACATTCACTTCAGACCCTGTGTCCAACTTAAAAGTCACAGTTGTCCCTTCAACAATTATAGTTTTAGTCCACTCTTTTGTAGACGATGTTGAGCACACACTTTTAGTTTTTTGAACATTTATGGAATTCACGAAGAATTCATCATCAGATTCACTATATACATCTGCGTTATCATGCTGAGAAACATTTTGGATGTGCTTCAGTCTGCACATAGTCGAAAAGTGATTAGTTTGCCACAATTAAAGCATTTTTTTTCCATATGCCGGACACTGTCCATTAATGTGATGTCTGTTGCATTTTTGCATAAAGATGTCTCAATATTTGCATAAAGATGTCTCAAAGTTTGCATAAAGATGTCTCAATATTTGAAGTGTCAGCACTCCATCCTCTGTGCTTCCTCACTGCTAAGGCTGCGTTGGCTCCTCCTGTTCGATGTTGCTTCACTTTTTCTCTAGTTATGCTGTCAACATTGTGTTCTCTTAACGTTTGAGCACGAGCTTTGCTCAATTCATCTGCTTTCCCTAATTCAATTGCTTTTTCCAAACTCAGATTATTTTCTCGCAGCATCCTCTCCTATAAACTGGCATCTGATACTCCAAGGACAATGCGATCACGTATGACAGAGTCACTCTGCTCACCAAATTCGCAAGATTTTACAAGTTTTTTCAGGTCAGTTACGAAACAATCAAAAAGTTCCCCTTCTTCTTGTTTTCTCTTATTGAATAAAAATCTCTCCACCACAACATTTGTTCTAGGCGTCGTGAAAGCTTCAAACCTCTCAAGCACTTTTTCATAGTTACCCTGATCTCCTGTTGAAAGATTGAGCGTGTTGAACACTTCAACTGCTTCCTCACCAGCGGCATTTAAAAATAAAGCAACTTTCACATCTGAATCTTTTGAAGCATTTCCTGAAGCTTTCATATAAATCTGAAACCGCTGCTTGAATCTGCGCCAGTTTTCAGCCACATTGCCGTCGAAACTTAGGCCTTGCGGTGGGCGACAAAATTCCATTTTGCGTCTGCTGAGAGGAAAAACAACCAAGGGGATTGATTGCCTGGCAATTAGTTGTAATACTATTCCACACGACTATGCCATGTTTTAATCGTATTAATTTTTATTGATCTATAATTAAGTCATTATAACACGTTCACATAGCACATTGTTTATTCCACCCTAACATTCACTGACTATTACTTCACTTCAGTTTGACCAGCAACTAGTGTGTTGCCACATATATGTAACACCCTCCCCTAAGTTTAGAGAGAAATATACCAAAATGTACAGTGACGTTGTGCAGGGAAAGGAAAGACAAGTTTTTTAATAACAGGAATAAGAAGGCTAGAAAATATTTTTGACCTTGTCAGGCGTATGAAATCACCCAAGACTGCTCTTTGCAAGGTTTCAGGATATGTTTAAAAGGGGTGCTTTCTTAGAAGACCCTATAGCATGAAAACTAATTAATTAATATGTCTACAAAAACTTTAATAAGTCTACTTTAATATCACATCTTCCTGTCACTTTTTGCCCAAATGTGTAGCTACTAGATCATTTATACTTTCTTGAACAGTGGTTGGTTACACATGTGAGAACACAGTAAACAACCACCACTGTGAAATATGCTGCATTCATGAAAGTCGGATACACACAGCAATCCTCACACAAAGTGCATTTGCTGGTTCAGCTATCCAACACTTACAAAATTACATACAAGCACTGGAGGCTTGGCTGGTAAAATGGAAGATCAAAGTTAACATAAAAAAACTCAGGCCATTCTCTTCACTCGCAAGGAGAAATTTAAGAGAAACCTGATAATGTATGGCAATTCTATCCCCTGGGCCAAGCAAGTCCCTTACCTTGGGGTGACCCTCAGTAAAACTTTGTCATGGAACCCACACATTACAAATATTATCAACAAGTTTCGAGCACGTAAAGCTAAACTCTTCCCCTTAATTGCTCGAAACAGTGTTTTATCAATAGATAATAAGCTAGTTATTTATAAATCCATTTTGCGTCCATTACTATGCTATGCATGCCCTGTCTGGCCGTAAAATTGTATGCTACGCCAAATTGTCAACGCACCTTGGTATGTGCGTAATAACAAAATCCTTGAGAAACTGGGTGTACGCCCCCTCAAATCATTTTATTACAGCATAGCCAAGAGGTTTCACAGCAGGCAGCTCGCTATCAACAACCCTGCCATTAAGATCCCTGGTTATGATCAGTATGACCTCGAGAATGAAAATTGACCACTGGCCATTCTTAATGAATGGATAATGTAAGCTTGCAGCATAGCATAGTAATGTTCTTCTTTCTGTTATTACAATCATGTATTTTATCCTGAGCACCTTCATTCATTTTTTTTACCATTGCAATGCTTTATTTTATATTCACTATTTTGTACTGTTATATATGCATATCTTATTTATTTACCTACCACCTTTCTATTTTGAGCAAGGGCATGTAGCACTTTTGTACTCCTTGTACCACTAATATCTTCTTTCAGGACACACAGCTCGGCGGCTTTCTGTTCTTAACAGCTAAAATAAAAATAAATAAATAAATAAATAATATATATATATATATATATATATCTATAAATATATATAAACATAAAAATGTTATAAAATATATAAAAAAAATTTTAAAAAAAAATTTTATTATACTTTTAATATTTAGTTAATTTTTGAACAAATGTTCGCAATGTCTAGATATGTTCTACAAGGGGTAGGGCCTTCGGCCCAGGTACCCTGGTGTGGCAAAACACCGCTCCACTGGGGAAGTCAGATACAGCAGGACTCAGCCACCTTGTCGCCTAGAAGATATCCAAGAACTTGTACGTTGACTGTTCTCTTAACCATGATGAGTTACTTCGGCTAAATAAGATTATGTAAGGTAAGCCCATTTTATGTATTTCACACTATATATTTAGTCTCGGCAAGAAGTACCGACTTCCTGGTAAATTTTGGCATAATGTTAATATTACCTCAAATGCAGAAAAGTGTTCTGTCATGTTATATTTCCAAAATCATCAAGATTTTCCTGCGAATTCTCCAATTTTTTAAGATTTCCTGAAATGTAGCATGTCTGCCACTAGTCTCTTGCACAAAACTATCCAAATTTCTAAAAAATCTGAAACAGTTTACTGCAATTACCAAGAAAAAAAAATATTTTTTCCATGTATATTTTAGAATTGTTTTTTTGATAGAACCCAGCAGCACCCCCCCCCAAATCTTCTAAAATTGGCAAACTAATTTGGGTAAAAGGACTATCAAACTTTCTGTGTACGTTTTTTTCTCTTTACCTCTCTGCTCGTAAGTTTTAAATAAAATTAATAACAAAACTATGTCTAAATCTCGTAGTTTCTGTGTTGGTCGTATTACTTATCTTTAGATATTGAAAAGAGTTTTTTTTTCGGGGGGGGGCATTAGAGACTAATAATTTTCTTTGTAAAGACCTTCCATCCATTGCTTCTTTAAGGTGGTCTACTACAGCAGCATTACAATACTAAAAAATTTTTTACACGCAGAATCGCTAATTAAGAAACTATGTTGCGTGCAATTTGGCAGAAATATAAAGCAATAGGTCAGTTTTCGAATCACAATGTTAGAATCAGGTTTGAAATGAAATTTACTTAAATATTATTTTAAAAAAATTAGTTTGAAATACGTAATTTTAATGTGTAGTTTGGAAAGCCATCAATAGATGGCGCTACGAGTTAAAATTTAACATTGTAATCTTATTTCTGCAAAAATTCACGAAGTAATTGATTTTGATATCAGTTATAAATCATATTTTTTTCTAAATAATATTTAGAAGCGTTTCATATATTCCTTTATACACAGTTTTCACTAAACATTGTCAGCTGTCAGCAGAATGACGTTTACGGCAACCCTATTGCATTGCTATTCCGCACTCGTTTTGTTTACATTTATTTGTACTGTGGTCAGTTTGCAAAAAATATGCGAAAATATCAAGGACGACCGAAAAAACATCCTGGTTTTAATAAAAGATCCAGAATTCAGCGTAAACGTCGAGCTCAAGAAAAAAATATGAAATTAAATTCCCGAGATGTGGAAGATTCCGAACAAGCGGATGTTTTCGAAAGGTGAGAAATAATTTATTCTTTATATCGACTACCTACCCCGTGTTTATGATTTCGTAGTAAGTTAATTCCGAAGTAAAATATGCGTATTTTTTTTTTTATTGAAGGTCAGAAATTATTGATACAACTGCATCTGTGTCAAAGGAGAATCATTGCCCGGATGATTTTTTTACAAAGTAAGTTTTTTTTTTTTTTTTTTTTTTTTTTGTATGTGTGTGTATGAGGGGATGCTAATAATTGTTCAATTCTGTTATAAGAATTTATTCCTCCATTCACACTAAATTGTTGGGAAATATTGAAAGGGTAAATTCCAATTCACAAGGAATTGCTGAAATAATTGAATCTTTTCAAAAGTATGAGCATGTTCTTGCGATCTAAATTGAATTCACCATCATTACATGTATTATTGGAAATTTTATAGTCATGTGTTTGCTACGAAATGCTTTGTCAGTTACCTATGGTATATTTTAACAAACAGGTGTATGCACATTTATTCATGTGCTCGCTGTTCAACTTGCTTTTTTTTTTATGTCATTTACTTGGATGTTAAAACTTTCTTTTAGCGTTGGAACATTTTATGATCATTTAGTAAAATTTATATATAAATATATATTATTGCTTGTTTATTTATGGTTCTGTGTATTTGTCATGTATGCATGTTGTGAAGTGTAGTTTTTGAAAAATATGTCACAAATGTTAAATTCCACCAAAAGCTGAATTGAATTGATATTGGGATGCAGGTAATTAGAAAATATCTGCTGTGTATTTTGAGCGTAACCAAACTAGTGCCAAGAATGGGACCAATACGCTCAGGCTTGCTTTCTAGCCTTTTTGCCATTGTCCAAATTGAATTATCTCCAGTATAAAGGGAGTGAATGCTTTCTCTGTATAACATTAAAATATCTGTCTGATCAAAAATCTACCAATAAGAAACTTTTCATATGTTATGTGACAGACTTTCTGCAAACAGAAGTCCTCAGCTCTGTTCTTGTACATGTTTTTTAATTGTGGTTCAGATGTGTACTTCTCAAAGGAATTCTTCTCATAGGAAGATTATCTGAACATTTAAAAACTATATTCTGCTTTTAGGGGCCTAATATTTTATGCCCCTAAAATTAATATTGAAATTTCTTCTAAAATGTTGAAAAATATGTCATCTGGATTCTGTACAAAAAATATAATCCCTTTTTTTCATTTCTGCATTTGCAATTCCTGCATTTTCTTTATTCCTACATTTTTTAATTGGAAGGAATTTCATTCGCAGAGCCCTCTAATTTATTCTTACAAATCATGTAGTAATGTACCATTTTAGATAGATATAAATAACACATTTTGTAATTTTTCTAAACTGTGGTTATACAGCATGATATAATAGCTACACAGGGTATGGCGAAACAGTATACAGCAATATCTGTCGCACTGTCTGAGATGGGTGGTAGTCATACATAGCTTAATGCTTAAATTTGTTATGTGTTATTATTTTATATTCATGTTTTTTTTTTTTTTTTTTTAATTATGTTATAGCAGTTTATTTCTTTCATTCTTAGGTCCGGAAGTGAAAAATTTGACTTTTCTACGCCAGAAGTTACAGCTAATGTTCCTAAGACAAACCAGGCTTTCCTTGAGGTAAGTTGGTTTATTTTTAAAATAGATATTAGCTGTGCATGATATTGACAGTTACTTAATTATGGTTAACTAATTATGTATTAATTTAGAAGTCAAGCAACCAAAATCAGCGTTATATTTTCAAATAGTGAATATTTCAAAATATGATGCTGATTTTTGTTGCTTGACTCTCAAATTAATACTTGGTCGGTGTGTTATTGTATCTTAATTAAACTAATTATGGTTCTTTTCTTCTCAGTTCTGATCTGGACATTTCAGTTATTGACTCTGACGTAGAAGGTAGAAATACAAGCTCTCTTTTGGGGTAAATATGTATTTCTCTATGCCAAAATTAAAATGTCATCATTTATGTTTTTCTTTTATGGTGGTGTTACATTATGTTGGTTTACATACTGATAGCTATTAAAACTGTTAAATATAATATTGTAGCTATCAAAAAGAGGGGGATGAATTTGATTTGTACCAAATTTGGACGTTTTGCATGAAAGAACTTGAAATAAAAGATTTTTTTAAAGATTTTTTTAAAAATATATTCATTGAAATCAGTGAAATTTTCAGTCGGGACACTGAAGCAAATGAAAATATTTTGGGGTTTGATTCTTTTGATGGGAGCCTCATCAATAAGCCTACTATCTTTTTTAAATATTGCTTCTTTTTCATTGTTTTCATGATGTTTTATGTTCCCTTCATGAAAGAGATTTTTAATAATTTAAATTTTGTTAATAAAATATAACAAAATGAAATCTGTGATTATGTGGCTGTTATTTTTTCCATATATATTTATTTGAGGAAAGCCAAAAATTTTATTATTTTACAGAATTTTTAAGAAAATATATAAGGATAAAATTTTTTAATTAATTCTGATTACTACCTTTGCTTTCCTCTCATAATGTGCCTCAAATTAGAGCA